CTAAGAAAATGAAAAAGAGAGTTAGCGCCAATACATATTCTTGTTTTACCCCCGTTTGAATGGGGAAGAACTCAGAATGGGTACCACTGTGCAGGACACTGCCGTTGATGCCGGCTGGAGTTGCCTCACAATGGCGATGAAGTTTTGTGGGCAGCCAAACCGTCTGAGGGTCAGCGAGAGGGCTTCCCTGTTGACTGAGTCGTAGGCCTTGGTTAGGTCGATGAAGGCCATGTACAGGTCATGACACTGTTCTCTGCACTTTTCCTGTATTTAGCGGGCAGCAAAGGTCATGTCAGTGGTGCCACATGATGGTCTAAAACCACACTGAGATTCTGGGAGGAGGTTTTCCGTCTCAGGTAGTAGTCTGTTTAGGAGGACTCGGACGACAATCTTGACAGTTACGGACAGTGGCGAGATCCCGTGGTAGTTGCCACAGTCTGACCAGTCTCCCTTGTTCTTATAAATATTGACGATGGAGGCGTCTTTTAGAACTTGGGGGGGATTTCCTCCTTTTCCCATATATTCTCCAGAAGAGAGTGGAGATGGCTGGTAAGCAGAGAGCCTCCTGCTTTAAACACCTCGGCTGAGATTCCATCAGGCCCTGAGGCTTTGTTATTTTCATCTGTTTGATGGCAGTATCTACCTCATTCAGAGATGGAGGATAGCGGAGATGGGTCAGCTCTGGATGCTGAGGGACCTGCTGGGTAGTCAGGACATCCACAGTGTTGTTTCGGTTGAGTAGCGAATGGTAATGCTCTTTCCACTGCTAACGGATGCCTTCTTCATCTTTAATTAGAGAGTTACCCCCATCAGATGAGCGGAGGGGAGCTGTGCCATGAGTGATTGGCTCATGAATGCTTTAGTGGAATTGAAAAATTCACACATCTTGTGTTGATCTGCAATTTTTATTTACGTTTCACATGCTTTATTTTTAAACCAGTCGTTCTTTAGTAAGCGAAGTTTATGCTGGGCCGTCGTTTTCTTCTTGTGGGAGGTATCAACTTTGGTCCTAGACCGACGGTTGTTCTGCCAGTCAGTTAAAGCAGCACGTTTATACAACGACGAGTACATTGATTTCCGGACAATTTTCATCAAACCAGTCCTGATGTATTCTTTCAGCTTGCCGAGGGCCTCTCTGCAGGTCTTTGTCATGACAGTGTCGAGAATACTCTATTCGGCACTGGGATTTGGGTTGTTTATCAGCCCATGTTCGAGCTGCTCTCGGAAATCATGGTCTACCACTGGATCCTCCAGACACTTAGTGTTAAAACCTCTCATGGAGGCTTGTTGCCTTCGCCGTTTTGGGGCGACGTGAAGTGAGAGCTTGGCCCTGATGAGCCAATGATCAGTGTCGCAGTGGTCTGAGCTACGCATTGCTCGGGAGATGAGAACGTTTCTGCGATCTCTTTCTCTGACAATGATATAGTCAATGGGATGCCAGTGTTTGGGCCGTGGGTGTTGCCACAAACCCTTGAACTTGTCAGCCTGCCTAAACATTGTATCTGTGAAAGTGAGGTTGTGTGCAGCACACTTGCTGAGGAAGAGTAGGCCGTTAGGATTACACTTGCCAAATGTCAGCATCTCTACCAACTAGAGCATTGAAGTCACTAAGGAGCACAACATATCTTCTCTGGGGATAGAAGCTAGCACTCTTTCAAGGTCGGCATAAAAGGCTTCCTTGATGTCATCGTCTGCATCCAGTGATGGGGCAGATGTACTGATGAAAAAGGCATGACGTTAGTGATTCAGTGGGACTCTGAGCGTCATGAGGCGCTCGTTGATCCCAGGAGGCATTTCAGTTAGCCTGTGTAGGATGTGTTGGCGGATGGCAAAGCCAACTCCATAAATGCGGTGTTTCTCTGCAGGAGGCTTACCCTTCCAGAAGAATGTACTGTATAGCCAGAGCCCCATTCTGTGAGTCGACCCTCTTCTGGGAGCTGGGACTCACTAATGGCTGCTATTTCGAAGTTATATCTAGCCAGCTCTTTTGCCACAAGGGCGGTTTTTCTTTCAGGACGTGCATTTGTGCCAGTATCCAGAAGGGTCCTGACATTCCGTGTAGCGACCATAAGAGGTTGTATAGTTTGTTTTTCTTTGGATCTGTGATTTTGATTGTGTTTTCGACAGCATAAGGATGACCTTACTGGGTGCAGTTGCCCAGTCATGTTGGTTCTTTAGACATGCCCCTCTCCCCTATGGGGTGAGCAGAGTGGCTGCTCGAACGGGCTGCTCAGTCGTACAGACATGACTGGATTTCACTGCTGCCTAGATCCCAGTGCATAAACGCCCATCTTATCTGTGCCGCCCATGTGCAGAGTTGTGACTAGAGACTCCCGGCAGTCATATCTGCCTGTCTCCGAAGCCATTCGTCCGTCGCTGTAGGACTTTTGGGTATTAAGTGTTGATGATGATGAGCTGGATGATGGCTGCGCGTGAGTTGATGTATGTGGTGAGGCAGGAGCGCAGACTGCAACCACAATGAACTTAGTAGCTTCGGACTTGACGTCAGTCATCTGCTCCTACATACAACCGAGCTTACAGAGAGCCTTACCAGATTTCAGCATTTTGATCACTCTACTTTTGCCAAAACCCCACAGATAAGAGACTGTATCACATTTAGTTAGAACATGAGTAAGTACACGAATCTCAACAATGTTGGCATGTTCTTCAGCGGCTGCTTTGATATCTACACTTGACCCTGATGAACTCGTTCCAGTCATCACCATATTGCAAATCAGTTGATTTGCTCGGTAGACGTGAATCAATAGAACAAATATATGTGTCATCTGCAACGACTCTGATTCTCAGTTTGCCAGAAATAGCCAGGTGTACAACGTGCTGGATGATAATTACATCTGCTTCCTCTTGCGTGGTACGAAGATCCAGTCGTTCTCTGATATCACCATTGTGTTGGTTCAGCTCCTGTAACTACAAGCTGCATCCTATTATGTGGTAATAGATCACCCGATCTCTGACATATTCACAGATGAGACGGATCAGCTGAAGTTCGTTCTCTGTGGTCGCTAGTGCTGCCTGCTGCATAAGCTGCAGAAAATTTGAAACATAGTACTTCATCATATGTTGACGTGACTCCAAAGCCATGAAGCAGTTCATTGGTTGTCTTCTCATGCACGACTACTCCCAGTGCAATCTGTAAGGAAGTTGGTTTGTTAGTGACAGCACAAAGTCACCACAGCAGCTGGTAGATTAGCATCAAGCTTTGGTGACGACGAGATAGGAAGCTCAATAAGGCTGGGCTGCTACAAGCAAGAGGAATCATCTAGACTAATTTTGCTATCATATTTTGACTGATCCCATTTGAACTGTACAGATTCCCTGATGATCTTCTTGCCCGCACTTGCTGTGGCTGTTTCAATATCGTCCTCGTCATTTGCCACTAAGTCCATGTGTTTTGAAGCTTGCTTCTTGAAGAGTAAGATATTGGTATCTCCATCACCTGATAGAATCAGGTCTGGCTCAAATCTGTCAGGGAACTTTTGAATCAACAGTCAACAGCATTCCAGATACGCGACTGCTCACTCAGCACTCATTTCACCATTTGATAGAATGTACTTTCTTCTGATACAGTGCCACTTGAAGAGGACCTGATATTACTTGCATTCCTTATGGTACTGAGCAACGGCTGCATTGAGGTCACTGACAGCTGCTTGGACTCTCCGTCTGATTTTAACTGACCAGTCATCATTATGCTGACCACATGTTTCCACAATAACTACCTTGAATATTTTTATAGAACTCTCATGATTCACAGTGAGACATTTGATAACACGACGCCATCGATTTGGGTTCCGAGGATCCAACTCTAGGCATTTCTCTCCGCAGAAGATACAATGTTCCTGGAAGTTGAATGGAAATTCTTCAGAGCCACGACTTCTTTTCACTGTTGGTTCAACACTGGTGTCAGTATCACCTCGTTTGGAAAGGTAGCGTTTGATGTGGTGCTTAGAGGTGTATGAAGAGACACAGTTATTGTGACATCTATATCTAGCAGCTCAGTCATGTGACAACTGTTGGTGTAAAGTAATGTATCACCTTTTTGTGTACTAGCTGTCCTTAAACGTTCTACACCTACATCACAAAATCCACCACCACTATCACTACAGTTTATGTAAACTTTCAAATAACAAACCTCTTCAGTCAAGATCATTATCTTCTATAAAACTTGTAATTAGAAGAAACATACAGTTATTTGATTCATCACCATGCATATTGATCAAAATTGCTATAAGCATTAAATTCTTTCAACGCGCACCAAATTTGCAATTCCTACCCATTACCTGAAAGCAGAAATAACTATCATGACGGTTTTAAAGCATTCCCTCTAAGGCTGTGGAACAAGCATTATCATTAATATGAGTTAACTGTGTATTAAATGTTTGTTTGATTGGTAAAACGGATTTACCAGCGAAAGAATATTTTCGAAATACATATTTCACATTTTTAAAAATTGCTTGAAGTTGATATCATATTAATTTCTGCGTGTTTCAACAGATTCCTAAATTACAAATACATGGATTTTGCCACCAAAATGAAGTCTCTATCTCGATTAGAAGCCGAGATGTGGTCAAAACTGGTATTCGTGAGTTGGCAGTGGCGGCAACTTTGAATGTGCTCAATAAATATTTTCCCCAAGGGTGCCATCTTGGCACCCGGCTGATTTATGATTAGTAGGACCTAATCTATCAGAAACAACAATAAAACAATGTATATGTCTCAAAACAGGGTGTCGTGGTCTGCCACTGGACTAATATGTCTCTCGTCTCTTGTGGAGAATTTTAAGTTATCCAGTTTCTGTTATTGTAAAGATATGCTCCCTCATGTCAAAATCTAATTCACATTCATTCATTCATTGAACTTTTATCTGGATTCCAATTTTGTCTGATTCATAATATCTTTATCTAATATTAAATGTTTCCTTTCCTTTGTTTATGAAATGTTATGTTACGTCAAGTCGCGTTAAATGCCTTCATACACAACAGATGTTTCCCAACTCGTACGTGATCCACAAGTGGAACAAGATGAGTCACTCTCAGCCTGTCTTCAAGGACTCCGGGATGCTGTACGACGAAACTGCTAAGGTCTTCTGTCCCATCACCAGGGAGATCGCCACCCATGTGTACTGATTCCCCATCACTACCCCATCACACTCCCTTATTACTCCATCACACTACCCCATCGCACTCCCTTAATACTCCATCACACTACCCCATCGCACTCCCTTAATACTCCATCACACTCCCTTAATACTCCATCACACTCCCTCAATACTCCATCACACTACCCCATCGCACTCCCTTAATACTCCATCACACTACCCCATCACACTCCCTCAATACTCCATCACACTACATCATTACCTCATCACACTCCGTCAGCTGGCACGGAGACACATCCGACAAGAGGATATTCTTACACCTACGATATTGAAATATTAAACTGGATGGCCTATATTTTTTTATCCATGAATTATATACATTATATAAGATATGTAAAGTATACAACATTAAATATAACTGTGATATAGTCTAGTAGCCTCGAGTTAGAGGGAATTTCTTCCTGGCGTGCAAAATAATGTGTACAATGATTTTGTTGGTTGATTCCTGTATTGTTATTAGAGAGGCAGTATAGGTCTTGACGTTTACGTACACCATGTTGCTCACAGAAATGAGTATACCTTATTTAAGTGATCCTGGTTTCGCATTTATTTTATCTTCGCTTTCCTGAATGGTCTTTCAACACACACACACACACACACACACACACACACACACACACACACACACACATTGTTGGGGGAGTCCTTAATTAACATTTGTTTTACAGTGCATGAGTTTTTAAATGCGACATTAACGTTCCAGGTTTTCAGTTGTATAGGAATTTGAGAAAATTTTTTGTTAAATGGTAATACTAAGAGATTCTTATTGTCATGGGTGGGCTTAGGATCAGTTCTATAAAAAAGATTTATTAGTAATGTTAAGGCATTTGTCTATAAAAGACAGGCGGCTGCATTTACAAGGTTCCTTGCAAGGAATGTAATATGTTCTACTTAGGCCAGACAGGTAAAGATCTAATAACTAGACTTAAACAGCATAAATATAGTGTTAGGACAGGCCAGGAATCCAATGCTCTGTTCATTCATATGAGAGATAATAAGCATTGCATTGACTAGGATAATGCCTCCTCAATATTACCTTGTAATTCAATTGTCTGTAGGAAAATTACAGAATCCAGTCTCATTAAACATACCGAATCTGTCAACATGAATTTGACTAATGGTATGTACAAACTGGATAATTTTGTGATTAAGAAGATTTGTAGCCAGGTGAGAAGTTTGGGTCATCTTACCCTATGACCTGACTACAGGCAGCTGCTGTACTTAGAGATAGTATGGTAATTTTTTTTTTATTAAGAAGATTAGTAAGGGTCACTGCCTTATGACCAGAACATTGTGGACCCCTACTGTCCCCTAGGGACTTGATCTCACTCTCCTCTACTGTATATATTAGCCTTGTCGAGTATTTCTCCTTAGTCTGTACTCACCCCCAAAGAAGTGAATTACACGAAAGCGCTTGGGAACTTCGTGTTCTCTTGTTTCCTTGTGGTTATCAGCATATTCTTGGATCACGCGCACCTACAGTGACTTACTTGTGTATATATATATATATATATATATATATATATATATATATATATATATATATATATATATATATATATATATATATATATATATATATATATATATATATATAATATATCTATATATATGTTACAGTAAATATAGATAATTACCTAAAGCGATAGCTTCAGACTTTTTTGGAACATGTGACTGGCGAGAGCTGATCATGTAGATCCTTTTAAATAACACATATAATAAAAGGATTCATGCATAAGCTAACCTACTTTAGATATAACTTGGATATCGTATGATGGTAAAGGATGTACAAAAATGAAACGGGGCAAATTTTAATGTATACGAATTAATTTCAATAAAGCTGTAGCTACAAAAGCAAAAGGTTATCCTTGTTTGGCAAAAACTTTAGTCGTTTTTCAAAGTTCAATCGGTGATAATTCGTTAATTCGCGTCATATGCAAACATATATAATGGTAAGTTGAAGTAGAAAGGTATTATGCACTGTTTTTAAAGCAGGGGAGGCCAACCCGTCGATCGCAAGCCCTTCTCTAGTCGATCGCATAGCATAGTTAAACTTAATGATCCTTCACTGGTATCCTGGTATCGATCCTGTGAGGTTACTAGGTTAATGCACCTTGGGGCTGGTAGTCCTCTTAGAGTTGATTGAGTATGACAGGTCAAGTAGTTGGCATGTACCAGATGTAGCGGGGTTCACAAAGAATTTACCACACTCTGATTTTACAAACCACAGAAACGCTTATTTAAACAACTTGGGATGTCTAAACAGGAATTTCTCAACTGTGCCTTGGACACAGAGTTGTACTGTAGCTGTACGGGTTGGTTGTTCTTTGAGAAGGGGAAAAAATGTACAACAGCGTCTCCACAACACTTGAGAGTTGGGAAGAGTGGGGTGTCTGACGTTGAGTCTTTGTAGCGATGGATACTCCCACACGGCAGGCGTTAACGAATGTACTGGGTCACGTCCACTTGAGATGGGGACTCCAGTCATCTGCTTCATGAGGTCTTGCCACACGAAAGTGATTTATGTTTAACTCACTTAAATGTTATTTGAGTCAAAAAAATTGTATGTCGATCTGGGATGACATTTAAATATATCACTTGCCATATAACGTTGCTCACGAGAATATATTCGGTATATAGTCTGTTGCCTTGGAGAATGACACTTAGAAAATTTCACTGTTACTTGGGTTACAGTGACGTCAGTTCTTGCACACTTAGTTACACTGCTTCATTGGTTCAGTTAATAGTTCTATCTGTTCGCTGCCACCTATATATAGAAGCTTTGGGTAGAGTTCCCTTTAACTTGGCTTATATATAAATGAGTTGAAGGGTCAAGTTACAAACCCAAAATAGTCTTTTCTCCATTTATTGGTAAAACTATATTGGTCACAGTCTATTAGTAAATGCACCGTAATTAACATTGTAAGCTGTGAGTGTTAGTTAAGGACAGGGATCAGCTTGACTGAGTTAAGTCACCCGTCAGATTCTCGTGAGGCTCAAGTGAAGACTGGTGCTCGTGTAATGACCACGGTCTTACACGTCAGTTAGCGCCAAAAATCAAATGATTCATATTACGCTCAATAGCCCACAAAACATGTACCTCGGCTTTCGTTTGAGTCCTCCATCTGAGGAGTCCGTTTTCTCATCACTTCAAGACACCTCAGTCCTCCGTTATCCCATTTTCTCTGACTTACTGAAACCAACCTCTCTATAAAATGAATTTGAGTGTGAGAGAGAACACCCTTGTTTTGAGTCAACTTAGATATGTCTGTTTACAGTTGGAACATTCAAGATCCATTGTGAGTGGGGTAGAATGCTTCAACTGTCCTTATCGTTAGTAGAACGTGTCAAGTAAGTGAGTGTCGAGTTTGCCAGCTAGAGTGGCGTATTTTATGTCGTCCGTGGGGGTATCCATGAGTTTCTGATCGCGCCTGAAGTTATATCATTTTGTCGCCCCGACATCAGAGAATCTGATGTTTATAGTTTAATTAGTGTCAGTTGTCTATTTGAGAAAGTCATTAATCTCCTGAACTATTCTGTCAACTGGTATAATCTCCAAGATCTAGCGCCTCCCCGTGAATAGCCCCTTGTTCGCCTCAGGCCTGAGCTTGCAGAATTAATGTTATCGACGTGTATATTCCACCTTTTCCTGGCAAGCTCAACCTCTGATTAGATTATATGAATAGACATAGGAAATTACCCTGATCAAGAACACCGGAGTTCATAACTAAGTATACAGTGATCCAAAATGATAGAGAAGTTTTGTTGTTGGTAAGATCGACCCTTCTGGTATGAATACGGAGGCCCAAGCTGCCCCGCGAGTGCACGTATATACCTCGACACGAGGGAGAATCACGCATTCGTGACTTCCTCAACGTCTCTCCAGGTATGTTAACGTGTGTTCCCGCCGCCTATTAATTCAGTTTAACTTAGTCAATTTTGGTGAATATCAGTGCTCATGTGTTAACATAGTGAATTCTGTGCCAATTAAGTCGAGTAACGTAGAGATTTAGATATTGTCTGAACCGTTGCCAGGCGTATGTTTTGTATAGTTGAAGTTAGACCTTTACGCATTCGTGACTTCCTCAACGTCTCTCCAGTGTGTTGAGCTGAATACTCATCAGCTAACGTGGGGCGGTAACCGGGTTGGACGATGCCGTTAATTCGACAGGACTGAACTGGGAAGTCCGTTTCCCGCAAATCAGGCGCCCACTCCCTGAGCGTGTGTCGGTCTACAACCGACCCCTAACAGCGATCTTCATTTGTTGTAGAGACCAGCGTTACCCTGGGGCACTCCTCACAGTTACATAGGCCTAAGTATTATGGTACCTTGTTTGGGGGATAACTAGCAGAAATATAGTATCCCAGGTTAAGTATTGAACCACTGAATGAGAGTTAAAAGTGCCATGTTGTTCCTTGTGAATTAACAGGAGGTATTGTATGTTGAGATTATTGTGGAGTTGTCCAGTGTGCTATGTATTCATTGGTAGTGACCATGAAATGATAATCTGAGAGTATAATGATATAACCAAGAAGTGAAGAGTTAATTTGCTACTTGGTAAGGTAAGACCTGAGGGTCCAGTGATATCTGGTGTATACCCAGTACTGACTATCATTTGGCAGAGTGACAATACCACAATTGTCGATTGAAGTAATAAGTATTTGGAGGTATTTAATGAGGTAATAAGTTCTTGAAGTGTTTGATGACTTAAGAAACAAATTGCAGTTCTGTTTTGTCTGAGTGAATCTAAGATGCATCTTATCCAATCACTGTGTTAATAAATATTGAATTAGTAATCTACGTCTACGAGTATCACCACTCTATCCTTTCCCACATTGGTTCTCAGAAAATAACTAACTCACGTGCCTAGAAGCTCGCTACCTAACAGTTAACTAAGAGATGTTATATTCTAGAAAATCCTGGGTGGTGGCAGGCTACCGTTGTAATTATAATAAGTGTGGTAATAACAAAGACATGGTTTCCCAGGTTAATCCATGGTTTAGAATATAACTAGAACAAAATATATGGATGAGATCATAATATATGACAGGAAATGAAAAGAAAGAACATTGACTTGGAGAACATAAGCAGAGAAGCATAAGAGTTACTTATATAAGAATATATAAGAATATAAGGTATATAGAGATAAAGAACATATAAGAATATAAGCAAGAATATATAAAGTAAGTATGTGTGTAAAGAACTGAAGAAGGATAAGTATATAAAACGGGATACTCATTGAAAAGAATAACTGGATGGTAAATTATTGAAAAGAGGAAACTCGGCCCGTTACACTCGTGAGGAGAGGTGCCTCTGAAGGAGAGGCCGGGCTAACCCTACATTCTTTAAGTCGGCCTACTGATAGAGGAATTTCCCCTCACTTGAGCATCACATGGCAACTCACAGCTTATGGAAAATTACCGTGGGGTGATTGTATTATATAAACTAAATGTATTAACCCAAATTTATAATTGTTATTGCCATGAGATAGGGGAAAATACAGCTCATTTTCGACTTCAGATATGTCCATGTTAAATACAGATGTCATTCTAGATGCAATATTTTAAACATTTGTCTTTACCATATCTTGAAACCGTCTGTCAAAATCTGAAGCAAGGTTTTGCACCTGTTCAATATATCGAG